TAACACATATACATATTTTTCTGTTAGTTAGCGTTCCATTACTATAACAAATACCTGAGGTAAATCAACTTACAAAGAAAAAAGGCTTATTTTGCCTCACAGTTTTGGAGGTTGTTGGTTTTAGGCCTGTAGTAAGGCAGTGCACCAGGGCAGAAGCAGCGAGAGGGCAAAACAACTCTCCAGATGGCCAAGAAGTGAAAGAGAAAGTGGAGTTCGGGTCCCAACAGCTCCTTCAAGGGCCCACTGGCAATGCCTGGCAGACCTCTCACTAGGTTTCAATAGCAACAAGCTAGGAGCTATGCCTTTAACACATAGACCTTTGGGGAACATTTAAAATCTAAAATATAGTAATTTTCTTGCTCTGTTAGCTGAAAAGGACCATAAGAAATGACACTCAAGTAACAATGAGAATACTTAGTGCCAGGTCTTGGTTCCTAACACCATTTTCTAATAAAAGGAAGCAAGTTTCCTTCAAGAAATGCCTGATTCTAGCTCTGGGACAGGAAATTATACAAGATGAGCTTGGAGCATCTTATAGTGTCAGAAAGCAAGTAAGTCTTCAAAAAAAAAAAAAAAACAACAACAACCAACTCAATCAATCCATCAACACATATGTGAGGGGCACAGGAGCCAACTACAACAACCCTCAGTGGACCGAGCTGGAATAATCTGAGCAAAAACATAGTAGTATTGGAATATATCCCAAAGCACAAAATAAAATTAAACATGTTGAGCCCATACTGATATAAATACTTGATTAAATTAATAGATGGGAAGGACAGACAAATCTGTGAAAAACTCCAAATAAATTATGTAGATACTCCATGTTGGAGGAAAAGGAATACCTTCCCCCAACATTTCTCAAGTGTAGACTACACACAGTGAATTCCTTTCAAAGAGTATAGTGTGGAAAGGGATAAAAAAATAAAGTAAAAGTAGCTTCGCAGTGAAGAAACTTCACAAACACTATTTCATCCAGGAAATCAAAGTCAATGCTAACAAACATGTATCTTGTGGCTAGTATGTACCCTTGATATGATGTGATGAAATGGTATTTAACCTTTGCAGTCTTCCTGCCAAAAACCCACAGGCCAAATCTAAGCATGAGAAAGACATCAAATTCCAAAAGAGACACGTTCATTTGACTAGTATCCTTTAAAACTTGTAGATTGGAAAAGTTTTTTTATTTAATGTAAAAAAGTTGGGAGAGCCCGCTTTACTTTCCCATCTAGTGACAAACACAAATCTATAATTTTTCTAGTTTTCTTAGCTGAAGATTTCCAAGTTAGTCTACTGAGATACTGCTCTCAAAGATAGAGAGACTCAGCCGTTGGTTAGTTACACATTGGCTTTATCACTTTACACAGAGATTATGCCAGTTTGGACCACTTTTGTTCAACAAATACTGCTGATCACCTACTTTGTTACGGACATTGTTTGAGGTACTGAGTAATCTCTCAGGGAAAAAAAAAATGCATGTTCTGCTTTCATTTTTGTAAGGAAACTTGACACAAGAAAACAATAAACAACCTATCACATTAGCAATGCTCTAAAGTAAAGAGGAAAGTGAAGAAAAGTCACCAAGAGGGGTAATCTAAGTGGGAGCTTAGAAAAATGGCTCTCTGAGGAGATGACATTTGAGCTAAGACCTGACTGGAGCCTGTTATATAGGCTTGCAGTAGAGGGAGAATGGGGTGGGTTGTTCCACACAAGTACAGCAAAGACAGACCAGAAAGCAAAAGTTTAAGTATATCGAGCAGACAGAGTAATGAGTCTGACAGGAATGAGCTAAGTAACGTATTTTGAACTAAAGATGTCAGAATACAAGAATCACTTAAAAACCTCAAACCTCCCCACACAGACCATACTCTTATCAGTCACAATTAGATTAAGATCCCTGGGTGTGGTGGCGTGTGCTTGTAATGCCAGCATCAGGAGGCTGAGGTAGGAGGATCACCACAAACTCAAGGCCAGCCTGGGCTCCACAGTGAGTTCAAGGTCAGCCTGAACTACATAGTGAGACCCTGTCTCAAAAAAAATAAATTAGATTAAGATCTCAATCACTGGGCCAGGGATTTAGCTCAGTGGTTCACCGCCTGTCTTGCAAGGTGCGGAGTTCGATCCCCATAACAAAAAAAATCTCAATCTTATGCTCTCCCTTGACCCCACCCCACTGTCACAGGTGTCCACTTCAAATACAGCAAACACTGTATTTTGAACTTCCCCACTAAAAACTATTATGCCTGTCACTCATTTTTCATCATATCTCAGTGTAAGTAAAATAGAGTGCATTAAAAAATATAAAATGTGGCACCTGGCCAGCACTCAGGATATATTAGTGTCTGTTAGTAAAAGTATTTAAGAATTTATTTTGATCAAGGACCAAGACTGAGCTAGAGGAATTATAGTAACTGCAATTTGCTAGTTAACTGAAAGATTAAACTGTCAAACTCCCTTAGGTCAAGGCCTCTGTCTTTCTCTGGCTGATCAGCATAGTCCCTGAATCTATAACAATGTTTGACATCCAGTAAACATCAGTCTTTGCTGAATGATGAATGAATGAATGGGAAGCCATCATGTCAAACTTGAATACAAAGTTTTCATTCCTCATTAAGATTTTAGGGGTTTTTTTCTTTCTTTCTTTTAATACAGGGTCTCACTATGTACCTCAGGATGGCCTCAAACTTGCAGCAATCCTCCTGCCTCAGCCTCCCAAGTGCTGGGATTACAGCCACATGCCCCACTAAGACTTTAAACACCATCCAAAAGTATCATTAAAGATGTTACTTATTCTTAATTGTCTCCCCAAAATCTAGAACAGGTGTTCATAACATCAAGGTACTTGTATTTATTGCAATTAAAACTACTGCTAAAAAAAAAAAAGGATAAAAACCTCTACTAGTAAAATTGAACTGTCAGTTGCAGAAGACTAATAAAATTACGACACACCACAATTCAAAGCTGATGATCAAAACTTTTGAACTATAGTGAATAATGAAAACTTTAAAACAATAGTGAATAAGGCCAGGGATTTAGTTCAGTGGTGCTGCGCCTGCCTTATAATTGACAGGTCCTAAGTTTGATCCCTGGTACCAGAAGGAAAAAGAAAAAAAAAAGGAAAACAATAGTGAATATAAGCTGTGTGTGGTGGCACACGCCTGTAACCCCAGCACATGGGAGGCTGAGACAGGTGGATCACCTCAAGTTTGAGGTCAGCCTGTGCTACATAGTGAGTTCAAAGCCAGCCTGTGACACACGGCCAGACCCTGTCTCAAAAAACCAAATAAAAATCATATTAATGATAATAATAACAAAAAAACTAATAATAAAGTATAAGGCATAATGCTTATGGAATACCTTGTTCACATCGTCACAAGTGAATAGCCTTTAAATTTTTCTTCTCACAAATTTACCAACTAGGTTTCATTTACGCTGAATAAATTGATTTCATTTTCATCTATATAGTTAAATTTCATAACACTACAGTTTTCCAGTTACTTAAGAAAAGTTTCGAGCCAGGCATAATGGCACATGCCTGTAAACTCAGCACTCTGGGAGTCTGCAAGTTCAAGACCAGCCTGGGCAATTTAGCAGCTTACGGAGCCCTTGTCTAAAAACAAAACAAAACAAAATTAAAAGAGAGGGTAGAAGGTGTAGTTCCGTGTGTTAGGGTAAATGCCCTGATTCAACCCCCAATACCCCCGCCCCCCCAAAAAGGTTCCAAGATTGTGAGCTTAAATTATTTGCTCTTTAGGTTAAAGAAGGACTTTTCAGGTTGATGAAAATGGAGAAGAGAGGAACTCACCTTTCTAAAAGTGAGTTTTCAGTTACTATAATTATGCACAATATAAGACAGGCATATCTGGGCCAGGATTTGATGCCTTGGTTCCCATGAGAATTAAATTAAGAGTCATACATAAATTTGGGGCAAGTTCTGCAAAAACTTCACCCTCTATTCATGCTAAATGAAAAACTCGGTTAAGATTCACCAACATGAATATATTTTCTAACACTCAGCAGCCACTCCCGCAACATCTCATTCATCATTTCCTATGTAAGAAACGAAATGAGATGCATTCAACCCTGCCCGGCAATTAGGAGGTCTGCAGGTAGCTATCCCAACAGCCAGCGAGTGCTAAGAGCCACTAAGTAGGAATGCGGCCCGGAGAGCCCCACGTTAAAGCACTAAGGCCTGCTTAACCTGCAGCTGCTGCCTACAGCACTGGGCCCCGAACCTCCAGAGCTGGGGAGATACCTGAACTCTACGGACACCTTTTGGGAGAGAAAGCCAGGCGTTAAGGGCGGAGCGGCGATTGCTAGGAATCGCTCTCGTCGCTGGCTGTAGGGACACGGGTGGGAGGGCAGACCCCAGGGCCGCTGTCCTTGTCACACACCGAGGCGACCAGGCCCTTCCCAACCAGCCCCGGCCGCGCAGGCTAATTCATTCATTCACAATCGCGCGAGGCACCTCCCGCGGGGCCACCGCCCCGGCCTCGCCTCGGCCCCACTCGGCCGCCAGGCGCGGCCCCACTCCATCCGCGTCCCCCGATGCCGCGGCCCGCGCCCAGCTGCTGAGGGACCGGGCCCCCGGACCCCAGCCCCGCGCTCCGCCACACGCGAGCGCCCACGCCCCTCGCCCTGCCAGCCGCAGGTCTCCCGGCCTCCGCCCCGCGTCGCCGCCTCAGACCTGCCGGCTCCGCGGGGCAGGGCGGGCGCGCGTCCGCGGAGACTCTCCGCCCGGTGTTCGGGGCCCCTCCGCGCGCGCGACGCCGGGTTCCAAGGGCCTCGGCTGGCGGGCCAGGCCCACTGCCCACTCACCTCAGGCGGGTCAGAACCGAGAGGCCTGCTCTAAGCCGTTTGAAACCGCTTGGGCCGCCGCACACCCCGCAGTGTCCTCGTTGATGATTGGTCCTCGATGGACCGCCCATCGCGCATGTATTGGTCCATTTGAAAGGACAGCGGGCACGCGCCGCCCGCAGCCTTAAAGGGGCCGCGCGCGGAACCGCGTTTCCCTGGGGACTTGGGCGCTACAGGCTCAACTGGGAAGCCGGGTGGCTGGAGAAAAAGCCGCCAAAAACCCCCCGGAAAGAAAAGAAAAAGGTGCGTGTAGAGCTATGCATCCCCACCCATCAGCGTGTTTGTTTTATAGATATTTAAGGTGCTGTCAATGCCTGACTTTTTTTTGAGTCTTTGTATTCACCAAATATTGCTTGTGCTGCTAAGTGCAATGAAAGAAGCAGAGGGGATGTAGTGGAGGAGGAGCAATGAATGGACCCGTGGATTCTAGACTTTGACCTGGTTTGAGCAAATCTCTTTTCTCTGTAAATGTGGAGTTGTTTTTTCCTCTGGGGGAAAAAGAAGCTTAATGTGAGCATTTACTCTAACAAATTGAATAGGAAAGAACATTACCAACTGTATGCATTCTGCAAATGCTCAATACTCCTTTCACTAAATTGAGAGGATTCGTCAATATGATATCCAAAATTCTTGTTTAGCTCTACAGTCAATGTTTCTATGAATCAGATTAAGACTTTACTTCCAAGAAATTTTACCATCTATAGTGACCAGAGGAGTAAAAGATAAATAAACCAGTCACTAGTACTCAAAACAGTATGAGAATTATCTAAATGGAAACCTATAGATGTTTAGAAAAGGGAGACATTTAATGGAGAGAATCTGTGGAGGGGATGGACTTTTAATCTGAGATTTAAAAGTAGAAGATTTAAATGTAGAAGGGGCTGGGGATTTAGCTCAGTGGCGCCACACTGCCTTCAAAGCGCAAGGTCCTGAGTTCGATCTCCGGTACCACAGGGAGAAAAAAAAAAAAAGATATGTAGAATTCCAACAGCCTAAAAGATGGAGAGAGGTTGATTAAAAGTAAATAAAGCAATTACTTTGTTGTGTTTTGCTTTGCTCTATCAGATTGGCAAAGATGAAAGATTTCAACATCCTTTGGTAAGATTTGGAGAAATTGATGCCCACACTCACTGTTGATAAGAGTTTAAGTGACACAAACTTTTAGGAGGACAATTTGGTAGTTACTAAAATGTAAAATGTCTGTGATCGCTGGCCCAGGAATGCCACTGTTACACATTATCCTACAGATCTACACAAGTATCCAAAGGAAAATGTACAATGATGTTTACTGAAGCTCTGTTGAAGATAGGGAAAAAAATCTGGAAGTCGCATGTCCAGTAATAGGGAATTTTTGCATAAATTGTGAAATATCCACTCAGTAAAACACTACGCAAATATTAAAACAATGTAATCTATATGTGCTGAAGTAGAAAAATGGACAGATTTTATTATTAACTAAAAAAATCAAGTTGCACAAAAGCATATGTTGAATGATTTTATTATATATCGTTATAAATAAATGTGTGTGTACATGCCTGAAAATGGTTATAACATTCCCGGAATTACAAAACACTTAATAGAAGTACACTTAGAAAGGAAGAAATAAATTTTTTTACCACTGATAGTTTACTTTTTTTTTGGTACCCAGGATCAAACTCAGGTCCTTGCGCTTGCGCAGCAGGCGGCGAAACCACTGAGCTAAATCCCCGGCCCTATATTTTACTTTTTTTTCATAAAGCAAGGAGAACGTCAAGCAGCATGAAATGTAAGAGCAAGTGATTGTATACGTGGGATTGGACATAGAGATTAGATTTAGGACAAGATTCATGCTAGGAAAGAATGGAACACAAGATTGACAGAGAAAGTTAGGAGCAGTTCTTGCAGAGTCTTAAATACCAGGGTGAGCAGTTTATACTCTGTTAGCTACTGGGGAGCTATTGATTTCTGAGCAAGAAAGTGACAAAAATCCAAATTGTACGTTAGGACAATTAATTAACTTGATCATTTAAAATGGCTTAGAGTTGGAAACCCAGTTTGGAGTTTGATGAGATAATAGCATGAAAAAGATGAGAGCACATTAAGACAGAAAAATTTGGCAAGCAATTAGATTAGGTGCAAAGCAGAGGGTGGGTCCCATTTAGGGGGATGAGTCAGAGACAGGGCCAAGATTTGAGCCCAGGGACTAGGAGGGCAGTGATTGCCCAAATGGAAGTAGGAAGTCAAGAGAAACCAGTCACAAGGGGAAAATGGACTGGTTTTAGACTTGTTTACTTGTATGTGCCAGTGAGGAATTCAAATGGAATCATCTAAGCAGGCCTGGAAAATACAGGATGGAAGCTGGGAGAAGAGATTAAGGCTCAAGTGATGTTCATTTGGAAATCACTTCTATAGAGTGAGTGAGACCTTAAAACCCCTGAAGGCAGAATGGAGAGAGTGCAAAGTGGGGAGACAGGACAGATTCACATGTAGGGGAAAGATAGGGAGCAATCAAAGCAAACAGTAACCTTTGAGAAATGCCTGGGGAATAAATAGAAATAATCTTGTTCAGTCATTGGCCATTGGCATATTTACTTTATTTAAATTTTACTAGGTATAGCCAAGTGTGGTGGTATACCCCTATAATCTCAGCCCTCAGGAGGCTGAGGCAGGAGGATTGCTGTGAGTTTGAAGCCAGCCTAGGCTACACAGTGAGTCCCTGTCTCAAAAAAAAAAAATCACAGGAATAAACAGAAGATTAATCTTAAGGAGAAAGTGACGGTAACTTGGAATTTTCCCAGCAAAGGAAGTATGCTACGTAGATTCTGGAGAGTTTTAGAACAAAATGGCAGGCCAGGGATTTAGCTCAGTGGTTTCGCCGCCTGCTGTGCAAGCGCAAGGACCTGAGTTCGATCCCCGGTACAAAAAAAAAAAAAAAAAAAAGAACAAAATGGCAAAATCGCTTTCTGTCTTGGATCATTGGGTGCAGCCTTACTAGGAAGTGAGCATTATATATCTGAATCCATTAATTTATGCATCTAATGTGTGGAGGCATTGTTCAAGGCATTGGAGTATTCAGGGAATAAACAAAACAAAACAAAAAAATCCCCTCAGCCAGGCATGGTGGCACATTTCTGTAATCCCTGTGCTCAGGGAGGCTGAGACAAGAGAATCACAAGGTTTTGATTTTGGCTTGTTGTGGTGGTGGTGGGTTTTTTTGTTTGTTTGTTGGCTTCTTTTGAGACAGGGTCTTGCTATGTAGTTCAAGGTGGCCTTGAACTCACTATGTAGTTCAGGCTGGCCTCAAACTCACAGGAATTCTCCTGCCTCAGCCTCTTGAGTGCTGAGATCACAAGTGTGTGCCACCATACCCCACTAAGAGGATTACAAGTTTAAGCCCAAACTGGGCAATTTAGTGGACTTTGTCTAAAAAAAAAAAAAAAAAAAATCCTGCTCCTCAGAGAGCTGTTATTAGTGAGGTGACATAGAAATTACCATGTAAATAAATCATATAGTATGTTATTAGATAATATGTGCAGTGGGGAAAAGAAAAGAAAACAGGGTAAAGGGATAGGTTGGAAAGACATCTTTCTTTGGTACCAGGGATCGAACTCAGGCCCTTGTGCCTGAAAGGCAGGCGAGGTGCCTCTGAGCTAAATCCCTGGCCCAAGACTGTCACTTTTATTTTTTATTTATTTATTTATTTTATTTTATTTTACTTGGTACCGGGGATTGAACCTTATGCTTGTGAGGCAGGCACCGGAACCACTGAGCTAAACCCCTGGCCCAAGACTGTCATTTTTAAAGGTGTAGTCAGGGTAGGTTTTTTTTTTTATTACATTTAAGCAAAGATTTGAAAGTGGGATTAGTCGTGTGCATGCGTATCTAGGGGAAGAAAGTGCCAGGCTAAGGGAACAGCTCCACGAAGGCCCTTTGTTGGGAGCATACCTGGTGGGTCTGAGGGACAGGGAGACTGATGTAGCTGGGGCAGAGTGGTAGGCAGTAGGCGATGAGTTCTGACAGTGGAGCAAGAGGAGTGGCATGTGTTGTAGGGCCTCCTAGAAACCTAACATAGTACCTGCCCATAGCAGATGCTCAACAAATGCTCAGCCAGTCATCTCTTATCAGATAGCATTTATCTGAGTATTTATTAATTGTGTGTGTGTTGTTTATTCCAGGGTCTTCTCAGTAGTTCTTCTATATACATAAGGAGTATGAAATTCACTGGGCAGTGGGCATTAGGGATGAAAGTGAACATTGCATTCTTACAACTGGAAGCAGGAAACTAGTATAAAACATCATGGGGCCAGGGATTTAGCTCAGTGGTTCTGCCGTCGCCTGCCTCACAAGTGCAAGGCCCCAAGTTCGATCCCCAGTACCACTTCCCCCCCCAAAATTAAACATTGTGGCTGGTGAATGACTGTACTAGGCATTTCCTTTTTTTTTTTTTTTTTTACAGGGCCTTGCTATGTAGTCCAGCTGGCCTTGAACTATGTAGCACAGGCTGGCTGGCCTTGAACCCTCAGCAATCCTCCTGCCTCAGCTTCCCAAGTGCTGGGATGACAGGTGTGTGCAACCATACCTGGCAAAAGGAGCAGCTTCAATGATAGCTTTCTTTTACCTTTCAGCCCAAGTGCCCCTACATTATTTCTCACAGGTGGCAGTGATACAACACTAATTCGATGTCAAGCAGCTATGGGGTTTGTGCCTAAGGGATCTCCAATACTGTAAGTCCTACATGCTTGCATTTGATAGGAGTTGGTTGAACGAAGGAATGACTGATCCACCTTCAGCCTATTTTCCATAGCCTCCAACATGCAAGCTTTCCAAGAACTCTGACCACAGAAATATCACCCCCACCACAGAGGAAGGCACAGAGGGAGAGATAGGGACTCACGGTAGACTATCAGCAGGCTTTGGAGGGGCAGGAGGGAAGCCACAGGGAAGGGGTATGTGGGACATGTGGGATATGCAAGATATGCAAACATTCTTGGCTCTTTAAGTCCAGGGAAATGAAACAGCAGTGGCTGTGTTAGCCCCAAGCTACATAATCTGCTGTTTCCAGCTTTGGCTGGAGATAAGACATCCCTGGGCTGAGCTCTCCTGGGTCCACAGAGAAAATAAATGGGCAAGTGAGGGAATGTTTCAAAACAACGACTGCCTCAAAATCCCCAAACATATGCGATGGATCAAACATCCTAGATGGATCAGTCGAGTCATCTTTCCGTATGAAGAGAAGACATACTTGACTTTCTCAGCCTAAAAAGGACTCAACCACTTTTTGTGTGTATGGTTCTGGGGATTGAACCTAGAGCCTTACACATTCTAGGTAAGGGTCCTATCACTGAGCTACATCCCTGGCCCCTCAACCACATTTCTTTCATCGTTATGTCCATAAATAGAAATCTGAGAACTAAACCTTGCTGGGTTCCTTTGAACAGCAGCATATCACACTTAGTGCCGTATTTACCCTCAGCACTGTTTTTGGTCTTCAGGATTGAACCCAGGGCCTTCACACTGAGCTACAAGCCCAGCCTTCGTTATTTTTAGTTTGAGACAAAGCTCGCAAAGCTGCTAAATTGCCCATGCCAGCACTTTGAGTTTGAGATCTTCCTGCCTCAGCCTCAGGATTACAATTATGCACCTGTGTTCTGGGATCGGCTTCAGCTCATGTACAAAAGTTCACCTAGGTTGCTGTGTTTCACTGCCTTTCCATTTTCTTCAGGCCTAGGTTTGATGGAAGCGTCAGTTCATGCCGTGGAGACCTTCCTATGAGCTAGAGATCTTTTCATCTTGAGTTCCAGTTTGTTCATATAATACAGAAAGGCACTGACTTCATTTGGAATGTAGTTTTCTGAGGTATGTCCAGTTAGAATTTGACTTATCAGTTTCAGGTATGGCATCCAGACAATCAGACAAGGAATTATCAACCCATCTTCAAGATTCCTCCTTTTTGGGCCGGGGATTTAGCTCAGTGGTTTCGCTGCCTGTGGTGCAAGTGCAAAGACCTGAGTTCGATCCCCAGTACCAAAAAAAAGATTCCTCCTTTCTTCTCTTTTTGTTTGTTTTAAAAGAGTAGTGGGGGAGGGAGATGGTTGTCCTTGTTCCTGTCCTGGAACATCTACCAGGGGAAAAATGATCCACTGAAGTTTAGAGTCATATCTCTTGTCACTTAAATGCAAGAGGCTTCGACCTTGCTTGCTTTTATCATCGTCTTCTCTTTGGTGGGTGGTGGTGCGGGAGGTAGTGATAGTGGTGTTGCTAGATTTGAAACTCTGTGAGACTGTATTTCTTGTTTAGGCACAGACAGCATCTGGCCCGTAGTAGATGAGAATGAGTGAGGTATTATTCTATCGACACTGTGTGTGTGTATGCGTGTGTGTGTGTGTGTGTGTGTGTACTTGGTGATTCTAGGGACTGAAGTCAGGGCCTTTGCACTGAGATGCATCCCCAGCCCTTTATCTTTCATTTTGAGACAGGGTCTCAGTAAGTCACTAAATTGGCCAGACTGGGCTTGAAATTGCAGCCCTCCTGCCTCAGCCTCCCAGAGTGCTGGTCTTACAGGTGGTGTGCTACTAGGCCCAGTTTATGGATCATTTATGGTTGAGAACTACTGAGACTTGTTATCACATTCTGCATCTTGCATTGACACCAGCACGATTCCCAATTGTCACTGAGCACTACCATATCCAGAGAAGCTGAGAAGGGATCCCCAACTCCTAGTTCCAGCCTATTGGAGGAGCCAGAAGTCTGTCTGTCTATCTATATATCTCTGGAGATGGACTGATCTAGGGCCTTTGCACTGAGCTGTATCTCCAGTCCTGTTTTATTTTTAATTATGAGAGCGGGCTTTGCTGAGTCACTAAATTGTCCAAGCTGGATTTGAACTTAATCCTCCTGCCTCAGCCTCCAAGAGTGCTGGGATTACAGATGTATACTATCACACCTGGCAAGAAGGCAGCTTTTAAGAAATAAATACAATCTTTTTTTTTTTTTTTGGTACTGGAGATTGAACTCAGGACCTTGAGCTTGCGAGGCAGGCAGGCAGCAGAACCACTGAGCTAAAGCCCAGGCCCCTAAATAGAATCTTAATCATCCACTCCCAGAAATACCTATGAAAGTTGCTAAGATCAGAGATAGCGGCAGATCTGGGACTAGAATTAGCCCTCCTTGTCCCTATTCTTAGATTTTTCCTTCTACATCACAGTCTGGCCAGCAACCATCAATGCAAGGCAGTCAAGTTCAGTGAAGTCCTTAAAGACCCAGAACAGAAATAGAAGGCCACAGTGCCACTAACGAGCTGTCACTAATGACCAGGCCACTTTTCCCATCAAGTCCGGCAAGACCTCAGGCAGCCACTACCAACCGATGAGTTGGCACTGCTGATGAAAAGCTATCTGTCATCCTTCTTCTAGAGGTGTCAAAAGTCAGTGAACTCTGATCTTTTTTTTTTTGGTCCGGGGATCGAACTCTGGTCCTTGCGCTTGCGCAGCAGGCCGCAAAACCACTGAGCTAAATCCCCAACCCTGAACTCTGATCTTGATCTCACCCCCTTTCTTGTCACTGTGCCCCATCCTCAAAGATCCTAGGGCAGGCAGGTGGTCCCCCAGCCGGCTAGCAGAGCTCCAGGATTAGTCATGACTCCAAGCCAGGCAAGGTCATTAAGAAAAGCTAAATTTATATTAAATTATCATAAAGTCCTAAAATACTGAACATAGTGGTTAAATAACTCCAGAAAGTCCAATCTCTCCAGTGAGTAACGTTAAAACCATTACACATGAGCGCAGGAGAATCACTTCCATTAGTTTAGGACAGAGAGACTTTGTTTTGTTTTTTTACAGACTAAATCAGTGCTCAAATATATATTTCCTCAAATATGTTCTTTCTACATTCTGAACAGCCCAAGTGCAATAAGAACCTTCCCCCTTTCCATCAAGAAAATGCAACTTTTTTACTTTCTTCTCCTTCCCAATTGTAAATTTAAGGGCTCAACTGCTGCTTCTTTTACTGCCTCATCAGCTGTGCATTGTCTCCATTTCTTCCTGGGAATAGCCCCCCATCTCTCCCACCTGGTGTGCTGTTTTCAGCCTTCTTGGCTTATGTGGAGGCCCAGGCCTGGCTACGGAAAGCAGGGATGCGATGCGGCTGGGCATCTGTCTCTAGCATTCATGTAACTGACCAGAAAAGATCGGATCTTGGCCTTCTTTTTCACTCTCAAGTTTGGCTGCTGATTTCTCAATTCTAACAACCAAGGGAGATATTTCATATCAGGAAAATTTCCTTAAAAACCCTCCCCTCCCTTCTCAGCCCCTCATCATCCTCTCCTGCTCCTGTTCCCTGGGGAGAAGAGAGGTCTGGGTCTGCCCTGGACTGAGAGGCTGCAGCTGTGGTTCCTCTTACCTTTCTACTCCCTGCTTACCCCTTTTTTAATTCCTCTAGCCCTCTTTGCCACAGGACTTTAAGAGATTGCTGGTGCCATAAGGCTATGTCTGAAAAAGTAAACCAAGGCCCCCCTTCCCCACAAAGTGAAGAAGTGCTAGGGATAAATTTTAGGGCAGCAGAAAGCCTCAAATCCCCCACTCCATGCCTGAGACGCGTGCTCTTGGTGTGAATGAGGATGAACCCAGTGGTGCCCTTTTGGCATGGAAAGTCAGTCAGCTAAAAAAAGTTGGAATAGAATGTTGCCACCTCAGCCAGCCATAAGCTCTGTCCCTGTCCCTGAGCAGCTGAGGAAGAACACAGGAAGTTCTCTTCAGTCCCCAGGTGGCCCATGTCTCTATTTGCTCTTCATGACCACTTATGGCAACTTCTAGTTCTTTGAAAGACTGTGGCAGGATCACTTCCCTAGGAAATCCAGAGCCTGGGGGACAGCATGACAGAACCCTGAAGGTCAGGTGGGGATGCTATGTTGGTCTAGGTGGAGCTTCTCAGATTCGGCCCCTGAGGCCCAATCCACTCAAGCCACTGGCTGCCCTCCTGGTGACTTCCAAGATATAAGAAAGGTACTGGCCAGCGGCAGCACCCAGAGGGAACTCCTAACAGCCAGTAGCCCGGCAAGGGGCTCCAGTCATCTGAGGGAGAAAAGTCTCCAGACAATCACAACAGTAGGGAGAAAGGGCAAGCCACACCCACCTCTCACTGGCATCTGCAGCTGCCAAAGCAGTGACATTGAGGGCTGGAAAACTGTCCACTGCCAGCAATGGACAGGACACCCAGGACACCCGAGTACGCCCAAGAGCTTTCTCATATTAGCAACACATGAGATTGGAGGTTTCCCAGACCCGCTGGGCATGCTCTTCCTTCTCTCAGTCTCTACCCATCGCCCCTCTCTCTACCTATGATCCTCTGCCCAGCCCCCAGTGGCCAAGTTCTCAGAGAAGCCATCATGTTAGCTGTGACAGGGAGCACAGTCTTGCATCAGTGCTGTGGGCCAGGCACTGAGGGGCCTGGGGAAGGGTGGGTGGAACTCTGCACTGACAAAGAATCTTTACTGAGTCCCACTTCAGGGGCTGCAGGACGGATGCAAGAGATGAGGTTTGTGGTGAAGTCCAGGTCTCAATTCTCACGATGAGCCCTCATTTCTTGTGCCCAAGTAGTTATGGACTCAGAGGGAAAACAGCTCCCATGGAGGGGTTGGGGGAGTGATGGGGTGGGAAGAGGGGGATGAGCACACCGGAAGGGGCCCTGCTGTAAAAGTGAGCACAAGGACCGGAAGTCCATAGAGGAGAAGGAACAGGCAGGCAGGAAGAGCCGTGGGCATTTAGACCTGGCTCTCTGAGGAGAGCTTGCATTCGTGTTTCCAGCCCGTATCTGGAAGGGAGCCCCGTCTTTCTGGAGTGGCTGCAGTGTGGACGCTGCTACACTCGGATTGTTCTTCCTGCAGCAGCTGCTCCGTCTCTGTGTCATCCAGGGAGCCAGAGCTGGCCTGGATGGACACCGTGTCTGTCTTCATGCACACGTGATCCCGCAGAAGACCCCCCCGGGAGCTGCGAAGCTGCTTCAGGTCATCCCACTCCGAATCGTCCCCAGACAGGAGGCAGATTCCCTCGACGATCTTGATCTTCTCCTTGGTGTAGTTATGGTCGGGCCCACCCTGGGGTGGAGAGTGGAGATAGACAGTCAGTCCCTTACCTCTCTAGAAAGGATCTCACAATGAACTAAAAAAGTAAGTAGATGGGGTGAGCGTGGGCCAAAACCCTACAAACTAACGGGGAAATGAGATCAGATGCCTCACTTAAGGATGGTGCAGATGGGGAGAACCAGGGCTTCCGGTCCTGCATCAGCCACTCACTGGCCATGTCATCTTGGGCAAATGACTTAATGTCTCCAAGACTCAGTCTCCATTTGTGCAGGGAGGGGAGAGTACCAGCATCCACACCTCTCAAGCAATTGCTATGAGGATTCAATGAGGCAATCACTGGTATGTGATCATTAGGGTGTTGCTCACAGGACAAAGGATGCAGCAAAACATGCTAGCTATCATTACACTGTTACTGTGGTTTAGTAACGGGACATCATGCTGACATAATTAAAAGCAATTGGCAAAAGCAATGCAATGTGCACTTATTTAGGACTTTAAACTACTTTATGTACTAGTTTGCTCTTAATGATCTCTTTTAATTTTGTTAAGGAGAAAATTTGGGAGGGGAGACAGGAGGGTTCTAGAAAATCCTCTTATTTGGGTTCTAAATGTTCATCCAAGGAGGCCCTGTATCCTGCAACCTTTTTTGGTTATTATTCAGGATCTGCCTCGGGACCATTCCCAAGCACCCTGGATCATTCCAAGGATAGCCTGGATTTCTGCTCCGTATTCTCCTTTTATGGCTTCTTCACAGGGTAGCCTCAGTCCTGGTTTCTGGGGGAAACGAATCAACATGCTGCCAACATGCCGCCTGGATCAAATGGGGCATAGCTTTGGGTTCTGTGCATGGGATCTGTAGCTGCTGATTTATGTTAATAACAACTCACTTCGACAGACAGTTATCGGGCCCTATATTCAGCGAGTTACTGAGCTAGGAGCTTCGATATCGGTCCCTGCCCCCTGGAGTGACAGTTGTTCCCAGCATGCACAGGAAGACTGAGACAGCACACAAACACACACACAGACACACAGGCGCCCATTCACCCAGCACGCCTTCCAAGGTGACATTAGTGTAAGGTAAGATGAGGACACTCAGGGTCCTCATCACAGAGACAGGGTGGGTAAGTCGGGAACAGATGAGGCATGTGGCACTAGCAATACTGGGGACAACACTCCCTGGACACACACACAGCAACAGGTACCTGAAATCAAGAGGAAATCAGAAGAGAAAGGGTGAGAGGCTATCAGAGGGGTGAAAGAGCTGCTGAAGAAGAAGCAGACAAGAGAAGAAAGGGGTCACACAATTTTTATTTCCTCTTCTTTCTTCTTTTGTTCCTGGTGGTGCTGGGGATGGGACCCAAGGCCTTGCACATAATAAGCATGTATTCTACTGCTGTTTTTTATATCTAACTCATGACCCTCATTGTAGTTCTTTTCTGGGACACTGAACACTTCAGGACTTCAAGAATCCTCATGAGTCTTTCAAACACATCATGTGAGGCAGGATCTGTCATTCCCTGACCTGCCGCTACCCCTGCAGGCACTCTTTTGAATTGTAGCAGAAGTCTTTATTTTATTTATTTATTTATTTATTTATTTTTGGTACCGGGTATTGAACTCGGGTCCTTGTGCTTGGGCAGTAGGCGGTGAAACCAATGAGCTAAATCCCTGGCCCAGGAGCAGAAGTTTTTAAAACATGAGAATTCATGGGTCCAGAAAGCATGGGATTGCTGTGTAAACTGCATTCATTATGCCCGGCAGGCATATGAAAGCCCTGCAGGTGACAGCAGTGTCACTATGTATGACACAGGCCAGAGAAGGCTGATTAGGGTTTATCTTCTTCCCCCTGGTACCAGGGATTGAACTCAGGACCTTGTGTTTGTCAGGCAGGCAGGGCATCACTGAGCTATATCACTGGCCCTCTAATTAGGGTCTGGATAAGGAATAACCCTGATGAAGCTTACAGGATTTTGGAAGAAAATATGTGTTATATCATACTAGGAAAATCTGAAATCTTGCATTATAGATCCCTTATGGAAAGGAGACTTTTATTTTATTTTATTTTACTTTTTCCTATACTGGGGACTGAACCCAGGGCTTCCTACGTGCTAGGTAGATGCTTTACTACTGAGCTGAATCCTAAGCCTTTTTTATTTTTCTTCTTGAAACAGATTCTTGCTAAATTGCCCAAGGTGCCCTCAAACTTGTGGTCCTCCTGCCTCAGCCTCCCAAGCATCTGGGATTACAGATGTGCAGCTGGGATTATCATGCCTTGCTGAAGCAGGACTAATTTTCATGCCTAAACATTCACAAATAATTTCCACTGTAGTGAGAAAGCAGTTAAAAAAAAAAAAGTGCATAAGTCTTCAGAACTCTAGAAAACTCTCTTAACTCCCTGCAGTAAAGGAAAGGATAATGGAAAAGCAGCCATTCCAGCCATAGGTGCCACCAGCTTGGACTGAGGTTAGAAAGGGGAGAGTGCGAGAGCTCTGGATTTGTTGGGTGTCATTTAGGGGAATCATGGCTTCACTGCAGGGGAACTGCAATTCCAGAAGAAAAAAACCCCTATGATCCCAGAAAAATATCTCCTTTCTAACCTCAGCCTTCTGGGATCTGCTTTCTAACCTTGTTCTCATTAGGGTTCTTCAAAGATTCTAGATACTCCAGAAACCCAAATTATACTCAGTTCTTCTGTTTTCTCTAACTCCGAGAATGGTAGATGGGACCCCAACACCCCTCACTGATTCCTTCAGGCACCCACTCCTACCCTTCCCCTAACCTTGACCATTAATTTCCATTTATACCTCTTTCTTATAGCACAGTTGATTGTACATGGCCGGTTTCGGGATTGCTTCAATTTTCACTTCCTGAGTGGAAGTTCGGTAGGAGGGGTTGCTGTAGGTCAGGTTGCCCATTCCAGGATCAGTGAACTTGGATTTTTTGTGTCTTTAGGAGGAAATATGAGAAGTTATTCAGATCTTTTCAGGGTAACACCTGGGAATTTACAAGCTGTACATGGAGAAAGTTTCTATATAAGTCCCAGTGATCCCTGCCTCCTGGTACTCGTATCTTTCAGAATCCTATTCCTTGGAGTGTGGGCTGGACCTGTGACCTGCTTCTAATGGAAAAGTTATATAAAAGTGATGGATGTTACATTAGGTTACAAAGAAACTAGCTTCCATCTGGGATTATGTCTCTTCCCTCTGTTCCTCTCTTGCTCTTGCTCTAGGGCAGCAAGCTATCATGATATATTGTCCTATGGAAATAAAGGCCCAGGAGGCAAGGATTTTTGCTGCCAGCCAACAGCCAGGGAGAAACTGAATTTTGCCAACAATTATGTGGCTGTGTTTAGAAGGGAACCCTTCCCCAGTCAGGCCTTCAGATGAGACCATAACTCAGGCTGGTACCCAGAGCCTGGGAGAGACCTCATGGCAGAGGCACCCAGCTAAGTTACATCCATATTTCTGACCCCCACACACTGTGAGATCATACATAGTTGTCATTTTAAATGACTACATTTTAGAGTTATTTGTTATGCTGATATGGGTATCTAATACAGTGAGCTTTATAGAGATCTCTATTTCGATTCCCCCTCTGTTACCTACTAGCTGAGATCTTGATAAACATAATTCAAACTTTCTGAGCTCACTTGTAAAGTGGGGAATAATTATACCTGTGTTACGAGGTGGTTGTGGCATTGATATATCCATTAAATGATAAGTGAAATTATTATTATTAATTATTATTATTATGAGCAGCAACATTCAGGCATTTTTGCTGTAAGCTGTATTTAAAGTATTTAAGGAAGAATATGAAGAAAGAGGCACACAAAAAGATCCTAAATTGAAAATGACACATTCTCTCTTCTCGGGATGATCATTACTGAGCAATGCTGTCAACCATTATAGCAGTAAAGGGTGTGACTGAGTGAAGGGAAATTATTTCTAATTCCAATGGTTGAGTGTATGATGAAGTATGGGAAAAGCAAAGATGCTACAGTCAGCTTTGCCTCTTACTGTGTGACTTTGGGTAATATCCTCTGTCCCCTTGGCATCCTACTCTGGAATACAAATCTCAGGGGCTGCTTTGCTGTGATCATTAAGTGAAGGAAATACTTAGGCTGTGACCGGGGAAGAAGAGCAAGAATCGAGGCTTCTGTGTGTTCCTTCTGCTGCTCCACAGGGAGCCAACCTTGAAATGAGGCTGCTCAGAGGTCACTTCAGTGAACTGAGGAGCTTCGGGGGTCCCGGATGTCCTCACAAGGACCGAAGAGCGAGCTGAGGTTACCTGTATAGCATCAAAGCCGCAATCACGACCAAAACCAGCAGAATGCTAAGGAGCCCTCCGACGGCGTAGCTGATGTGAAGTCCTTCACCTGGAGGAAAGAGACACTAGGCAGGGGGTGCCGACCCCTTTCTACCTGGCGCTGTTATAAGGGACAGAAAGAAGAAGGCTCCTTTTGGTTTCTTTTACATGGGGTCTTTTTTAGGTTTTGTTTTGTCTCGCCATGTAGTTCCGGCTGGTCTTGAACTCACTATGTAGCCCAGGCTGGCCTGGAAGTTCCCCTGATCCTCCAGCCTCAGCTTCCCGAGTGCTGGGATCACAGGCCAGGATCTCACATGAGGTGTTGCTGCCCTGTCCAGGCCAACCCCAAACTCCTAGGGTCAGACGATCCTCTGCCACAGCCCCTCCAGGAGCTAGGATTACGGGCTTGCACCACTGCGCCAAATTCAAGGTGTAAGTGTTGGGTCCAACACCATCTGAAGCTAGCAGGGGACTTCCTTCTCAGAGAGGTCACAGGAGGTAGGACAAGAAGAGTCAGAAGGAACTTGTCATTCTGCCAAGTATTTCAAATCCCAGTTTCACTACTTATTAGCTATGTGACTTAAAGCAAGACACTTAACTTCTAAGCCTACATTACGTTTTCTCCTTAGTTAAAAGTAAATAATAAATAGCTTATAGGGCTGGTGGAAATTAAATGAGTATGAGTATACATATACACATTAACATAACTTTCATTACAGTATATTTTTTAAGTTTGTTTGCTTGTTTGTTTTTGCTTTTTTTGAATTCAGGCTGACCTTGAGTTCACTATGTAGTCCAGGCTGGCCTCAAACTTGTGATCCTTCTGCCTCAGCCTCCTGAGTGCTGGGATAACTGGTGTGTGCCTCCCACCTCATTATAGTATATTGCTATAACTGTCCTATTTTATTACTTATTACTATGGTTAATCTCTTACTACTTTATAAATAGAATTTTATCATAGGTATTGTCTGTATAGGAAAAACACAGTATCTATAAAGTTCAGTACTACCCAAGGCTTCAGGCATCCATTGGTGATTTTGGGACACATCCCCCATGGGTAAGGGGCTACTGTACTCACATCTACGTGGTGCACATATGGCAATTATGATAACAATCATCATTTCAATGGATTTAGTCTAAGAAAAGAGTTTATCAACCCTATGGGAGGCCCCATGAAGGCCATGAAAGACATCAGTGGAGACTTAGAGCCCTTCTATCTTCTCTTCCAAAACAGCGGGGCCCTCGGGGCTTACTTGGCGTGGCAGGTACAGCATCATTGGAATGTGCACAGCGGCCCAGCCTGGCATCCCTCTCAGAGCACCTGTGGGTACAGGAAACTGAACATGAAGAACATCCCTCCCTGCTCTAGGGAAGGGCAGGAGGCTGTGAGTGGGGCTCTGGGGTCTGAGAACACACCAGGTGGGAGGTAGTAGGGCCAGGGAGAGGGTAGGACCAGGAGACAGAGGAATCAGTGTGAGTCACTGTGTTCAACCCACTATCTCATTTTTAAGTGTATTTTCAACTGTGTACCTTTTACAGATGAAAAGCAGTTTGGGGAGCAAGCTGGAAATCTGCAGAGGGAATACTAAAGACATCAATACTGTGCTCCCTTTCTTCTTTCTCTTTCCCTCATACCAAGGATTGAACCCAGGGTGCACTGAGCTACATCCCCAGACCTTTTCTTTCTTTTTTTTGGGTACTGGGGATCAAACTCCGGTCCTTCTGCTTGCGAGGGAGGCAGCGGAACCACTGAGCTAAATCCCCGGCCCTCCAGCCCTTTTCTTTTCTTGTCTTCTCCTCTCTTCTTTTCTTTTCTTTAGACAGGGTCTTGATAAGCTAAGTTGCTCAGGCTGGGCTCAAACTAGTGATCCTCTTGCCTCAGCCTCCCAGAGTGCTGGGATTACAGGCATGCACCACCATGCCCAGCTTTAATACTAGGCTTTCTGAAATAACCAGGAGAAGTAGGAAGCAGCCAATAGCCAAGTAAATCTGATTGGCTAAGGATTATCACAAGGTCCAACTATCACGAGGCAAAAAAAAAAATGTTTTTCTTCCTTCACGCTTCCTCAAGGGAATATGCAAGACACCTGGACAGAGTGCTTGAATAAGTATCTCCAAATGCTCAGAAGGCAACTTCATTGGGGCATATTATGAGCAGGCAGTTAAAGCCATCTCCTAAAAGCCTGAAGAAAAAGCTACTTGCAAGAGCTATGAGACCAAGCTGCACTGGCTCGTCACACAGAACTTGGACAATAAGAAAAGGCCTGAGTAGGGCCCATGGTTTTCTAAATAAAGCCAGGGGCTTGGGGTGTAGCTCAGTGACACAGCACTTGCCTAGCAGGTGTGAGGCCCTGCATCTGATCCCCAGTACTGCAAAACAATGAAACAAAACAAATTTTTAAAGCCCATAAAACAAAAACAAAACTCTATTCAATTAATGAAATATAATATTTTCCACTGGCTTTGAGAACTCTTCTCTACTTGCTTATTTAAAATGGTGTTTGTGTGTATGTATGTGTGTGTGCTTGCACACGTGTGTTTGATTGCTAGGGCCATTACACCCCTTAGAAAATCTTGCTCCAAGTCATAAAGCTACAGCCTAGACCACTGGAGGACAGGTGCACAGACTAAACCTGTGATGTGAGAACAGGTGTCCCAGAGACAGGAAGGAGGGAGAATGCATGTGGGAGACTCTTCCCAAGAGGTTTCTTTTGGAAGCTGTCCTGAAAGCCTCTCACTCTCAGAGATAAAGAGGGAATTGTTTGCCACAATCCTCCAGCCTAAAGGGTGGGGCCCAGTGGTTAGTGATGGGCTCTTCCTCCCCTCTGCCAGGATTCACAAGCAGGGATGAGCTTTCTGCTGGTGAGGTGGCGACTGGCATCAAGGGACCCCCAATCCCATACCGACCCTACTCACCTTCCTTCCACTTCCTCCAGGGCCGTGCGGGTCCTGCTGGTAGAAGAGTGAAAGGTGGGGGGCAGCGTGTTGCGGAGCACTGGGGTATTTTCACTCATGCTGGTAGCCCTGGGAGCTGGGGGCACCAGACCAGGTACTGGAGAGAAAAGAGGATTGGAGTGGGCCACGAGAGCCCCGAACCTTTTCATGTGGTCTAAGAGCAGTACCAGAGAACTTGGTGACGCAATCTTTGAGGTGCCTTCATCCCAGGCACCCTCATTTAATACTGTAAATAGAAAGGATGTGGATTCACTGTGAATAGTTGTGGGTGGGCCTACAAAGGTCAAAAAGAGAGAATAAAGCATTGATGAACCCTACAGTGGTGCCCAGGAATCAGGCAACTTGAATTCCATTTTGTTTTCTGAGACAGGGCCTTGCTATGCAGTTCAGGCTGGCCTTGAAGTCACTATTAGCCCAGGATGGCCTCAAACTCTTGGTGATCCTCCTGCCTCAGCCTCCCGATTGCTAGGATTACAGGCATGCACCACAACACCCGGCAAGACTTGAATTCTGTTCTAGGAAACACCAGAGCTCTGGCAAACCCAGATCTGAGGGATTCTGAACCCTAAACACTGCACTTTTGGTTACGCCTTCTGAAGGAGCACCCCACCGGGAAGGACAAAGTTGAGGCCACCAATCCCCTGGCCTTCAAGGACCCTGCTGTTCTGGGGCCACACAGTCCCACTCACCCAGGGAGCATGGCCTGCCATCGGGCTCGTCAGGACAGGCACACACGAAGTCCAAGGCTCTGGCAAAGCAGAGGTGGGTGCAGCCACCGTTGTTCACCCCACAGGCATTGGTCCCTGGAAGCAAACCAGATGAGCACCTGGGCCAGAACACAATCAGATCTCCCGATTTAACACGACCCCACTTCCAGGGACAGCAGGGCAAGGAGCCACCCAGGACAGGGGGGAAAACGTGAGCCAACAGGCTCTCGGGTGGCCCCAGTGTCTTGGTCACCAGATGTCCTCCGAGCGAGGTCAAGGAGGTGGGCTCAGAACCTGGGCCCACCTGTCTGCCGCTGAGGGGAGACCACGATGATGTCCATGAGCCCCTCCACATTGGCCAGCACCGTCTCCTTGCTGCGGCCCGAGTACTTGTCCACACGTTGGATGGACTTAGTCTGCCAGTCTGTCCAGTAGATCCACCTGTCCTGCTGCTCGGGGGTCGCCAACAAGGGGAAGTAGGATTTGGCTGTCAGGCTCCAGGGCAGCCTCTGTGCCTGAGCAGGGCTATCCCCTCTGCCCAAGGACAACCGTGTGTGCCTCGGAAATGTCCCCAAACCCACACTCTTCACTGCCCCCACGGCATGCCGAGCCGGACCTGGCAGTCATTTCTGCACCTGAGTTTTCATGTGCAATGGGGACCTGGCTACATGTCTGTCTGACTGTCCCTCCTGATGGTGTTCTTCAAGGACAAAAATGTGCTTCGTCCACCTCTGAACTCAGAGCACTTACACCCGTCCTCAGTCAGCTGAGGTCAGTCCTCGGCTCCCTCCCTAGCCAACAGCAGTGAACTCTGAGGTCTTCTGGCTCCCTGTTCTTACAAATGGGCCCTTTCCTCAGAGCCCTGGGCCAAATCCTCTCCTTAATTCTATAGGCAGCTTCCTTCTCATGCAGTGGGATGATGAAATTCTCAACCAGGGGATGGAAGAGACAGTGAAGATGTCAAAAATGACATTGAAAAGTGATTAAGATTGTCAGAGACAACAGGCATTTAGTGCTTACTACGTGCTGGGCACCATTCCGAGGCTTTGTATATATTTCTGGAGGATGCTGTTATTAAACTGATTTGTTTTGTATGTCACTGAAGATTACAGGTTTGATTTCTTGTTCAAAGTCACACACTTATTTAATAATACAGATCGAACTTGAACCCAGGTACCTAGCTCATGAAGCCACTCAAACAGCGACTGTCTGGAGACCTGAAAATGCTGGCTTTTAGCTGCTACTCCACCCCGCCTCAGCTAAGCTGCCTGAGCTCTGGCACTAGGATCAAGCAGGGAACTCATCAGAGTGCATATTCCTGGGCCCGGGAGCCTGCACAGTCACAAGCAACCCCCGCTGAGAGCCACCCCTGTGAACACTGGAACACAGGGTGGTGGGGCAGGAGTAGCAGGGTGCCTGGGGGCTTCAAATCCAGAGGAAACACCCCCAGCAGGATGTTTCAGGGACCTCTCCTGGGCACGTACCTGTGTGAGGGCAAAGGGATGGGACACGTGGCTGACCAGGACCTGTCGCAGCTTCCCGTTGAGGTCAGCGCTCTCAATGCGGTCCAGATGTGCATCCACCCAGTAGATCCTGCCAAGAAAGAGCATGGTGTGTGGCTGCCCCAAGGCCTGCCTGGGAGCCCAATTCTACCCACAAGGAGCTATCTGTTCCTGAAAGCAACCGTCTGTCCGGAAAGGAGCTGAACTGCTTGGGCTGTGAGCAGGTAAGAAGCACTCAGGATCCAAGCCCCCAGGGTGAAGAGCCAGGCAGGGTGGCGATTCATCAGTGGGGAGGCACAAGAAGTCTAGTGACCTCCTGTCTTCCGCAGACTCCTCCTCAGCAACCTGGTCATCCTCTGACTCCTGCTGAAATAGCTAAGCCGCAATTCCTAGCTGCTGGAAAAGCTTTCCATTCGTCCACTCCCCTAGTCCAGGCTCTGCCCTGCTCTGCTCAGCCCGCCCCCTTCCTGGAGGCTGTCTGGCACAGGAGTCCTACCTGCGGGTATCATAGTCCAAGGTGAGGCCATTGGGCCAACCCAGGTCCGTGTTGATGAGGACTTTCCGCTCTGAACCATCCAGGTTCGCCCGCTCGATCTTGGCGATGTGGCCCCAGTCCGTCCAGAAGAGGTATCTGGGACACAGCAGTGGCGTCACCCCAAGGCACAGGGAGGTGCCCAGAGGGTGGCAGGATATGGGGCAAACCAATGGCATGAGTATCTAAGCACTCCTGCCAAGGGGAGGGCCTGTCTTCTCCCCGGACCTCTGCTGCTGCTCACAAACTCACCCCTTCCTGGGGAACACTGCAATGGCCCGGGGCTCATCCAGGCTGTTGTTGATCAGTACTTTGCGGCATGAGCCATCCAGCCGTGATGCCTCGATAGTATTTCGGCCCGTGTCCGTCCAGTACAGGTTCCTGGCCACCCAGTCCACCGCCAGCCCATCAGTGGTCTTCAGCCCTCGCCCGATCACTGTCTCCATGTTGCTGCCATTCAGGTTGGCCCGCCTTAGGGAGAGTCCAGGGTTGGATGAGTGGCCAGATGGACCAGGAACACACAGAAAACCCTTCCATCCACAACTGGACCCTGGACAGACTGTAAGCTCCACAGGGACAGCACCTTCCTCAGCTCCCCATATAATAGGTGCTCAGTAAAATATCTGCAGGGCAAAAGAGTGACTCCTTGGGAGGACATTGCTTCCTGGACAGTGAAAACTGCCAGGTTTGGGGGCCTGTGTCTGGCTGGAGAACAGGGTCACCATTCCCCATCTATCTTTGGGAGGAGGCAAGGATGGCTAGGGGTGACTGCAGGAAGGCAGATTTGTTTAAAATCCACTGTGCATTTTTACACAGCCCTGCTCAGGGGAACTCCGAAACTACAAACTACCAGCGCCCACCTACTTCCAGCATGAGATTCCTTTTTCTTCTTCCTGGACCTAGGATTGAATCTAGGACACATGGAGCTACATCCCAGCCCTTTCTTATTTTGAGACAGGGTCTTTTTCCCTAATTTGTCCAGGCTGGGCTTGAACTTTCAATCCTCCTGCCTCAGCCTCCAAGAGTACTGGGATTACAGGAAAGTGCTGCCGCGCTCACAGCATTTGGGAGGCCGAGGCAGGGGCTCACTGTGGCTTCAAGGCCAGCTTGCACTACACAGCGAGACTCTGTCTCCACAAACAGTAACTTTATAAACCACCGCAGGCGTTGACATTTGGGGCTGCCTGTCAGAGGGTCCTAGGGGATTCTGGGAGCTCCCTCAGGGCCCAGCGCCAAATGTGGAAGGCTCCAGTCCCCAACCTAACCTAATCTGTTTTTTTAAATTCATGTTTTACCTACTGGGGTCCCATATACTCTTTTTTAAATTATTTTATGGAAAAATAAAACAAAATTTTATAACAGAATAATAACATAGAAAGTTATATATATATATGTACTCATTTATTTCACTTATACTGCTAGTTTATCTTAGTTCCCTGAAGAGGAAGTTCTGTTAATTGTTTGTTTCTTCCATATACTCTTTATTTATTACTATAATATATATATATATATAGATATTTTTTTTTTTTTTTGAGACAGGGTCTGTCTCCATAGTTCATGCCTGCCTTGAAATCTTTACGCAGCCCAGGCTGACTTTGAACTCAGTGATCCTCCTGTCTCAGCCTCCCAAGTGCAGGGATTACAAGCATGCACCACCATGTGTGACTCTACTTTTTTGGGGGGGGGGGGATGGGGTCTTCTTATATTGCCCAGGCTGGCCTACAATGCATGAGCCTCTTTCCCTAGCCTCCTAAGTAGCAGGGATTCATACCATCTTTAAACAAATAAATAAAACTTTTGAGTTCTGCTGAGAAAGATGGCACTGAAAAGTGAAGGAGCCAGGATTAGAACTCAGCACTCAAACTGCCAAGTCAGTTGGTTTACTTCAGGTCAACACAGGACACGACCCTACCCGTGAGAAGAAGTCTGTGTCCCTGGAGGCTCCCGGGAGCCTCCCTCGCACCTGATCACATCCAGGAAGACATCCGTGTAGTAGACCTTCCCGTCCACACTGTCATAGTCCAGCGAGATGACATTGTTGAGCTCAGGCACCGGGACGTGCACATCGGTGTGATCGCTGGTGTCCAGCGAGATACGCCGGATGGAGCCTCGGCTGGAGAAGAGTAGGTAGGTCTCAGGGGAGGGGTCGCAGGTCTTGCCATCCGCCTTCAGCTGGATGCCGGTGGGGCAGGCACAGGAGAAGCCAGAAGGCCGAGGCAGGCAGAGGTGGGAGCAGCCACCATTTCTCGAGCCGCACTTGTTAAGACCTGGGTGCGAGACAGAAGCACAAGCTTTCACTCCCGGCTGGAACACTGCTGACTCTCCCGAGGGTCTGGTTTCCTGGACTCAGTGTCTGACAGGGGTGAGATAGGAGTCTCTGAATCCTTTGGAAGTGACAGTGTCATGCAGCTGAGCACCAGTCATCCCCAGAGGGAGCCCAACTGATCCTGGAAGGGGGCTGAGGCAGGACACTCTCTCTGCCAGTGCAGAGTTCCATGCTCTGGATCTATCTCTGCTATGGAGGCCGCCCCAGAGACCAGAGGCTCTGTCTGACTCAGCCCGGGGGTCTTCTTACCCAGTGGCTGTGCCCGGTCCACAGCCTGGATGTCCATGAGGCCTGGCAGATTGGACCTCACCAGGATGACATTGCTGCCAGTCCCCTTGTCAGCACGGTGGATGCTGCGCGTCTGCCAGTCAGTCCAGTAGATGTAGGAGTCCAGCAGAGTGAGGCCATAGGGGTGCTGCACTGGCGACACCAGTGTGTGTCGACTGCCACCATTCAGGTCAGCGGCCTCGATTCGCTGCAGGGGAAAAGGTGGGGAGGGTTGATCAGTTGACTGGGCCTCTCCCATCTCCCCTGGGCTCTGGAGCAGCAGGGCCTCATCTCACCTCGGTGTGAGCGTCGGCCCACAGCAGCTGGGAGCTGGCTTTGTCCACCGTCAGCCCATTGGGCCAGCCAAGGTTGTTGTTGATTAGCACGGTGCGCTCGGAGCCATCCATGCTGGCGCGCTCCAGCTTGGCGTTCTCCCCCCAGTCTGTCCAGTACATGAGCCTGGATGAGGGAGGGAAAAGCTGAGGCTTCCGCTGCCCCCGGGTGCCCTGAGTTCGAGCAGTGGACCGCGCTCCTCGCAGAGTATTCTCGAGTTTCACCTGACTTAATCCTCACGGGGGCACGAGGGTGCCTTTTCACCTAAGGGTCAGGGGGCTGAGGGCCAAAGTCACACAGCTAATACAGGATGAGAAAATGTAAATCCTTGTTTGCCATCTCCAAAACTCATGCTTTATTTGTTTTTGTATTTTTGAAACAGGCTACGTATTCCAGGCTGGCCTCCAACTCACAGTGATCCTCCTGCCTCAGCCGCCTGAGGGCTTGGGTCACACATGTGCACCACCACACCCATTTCAAAACTCACACTTTTAACCTCTACACTGTCCTGCTACCCTCTGAAAGAAGCCACAAGGGAGGGGAACAACATCCCTGTGACACGCTCATTCTCCATGGCCTCCAGGCACCCCAGCCACCCCCCGGCTCAGCCAAGCCCTCCTGCCACCCAGAGACAGAGCCAGCTCTCACCCCATCTCGTGATACAGCACGATGGCCCTCGGGCTGTCCAGGTTCTGCCATACCAGCACCTTCCGCATGGACCCGTCCAGGTTGCCCACCTCGATCCGGTTCGTTCCTGTGTCTGTCCAGTATACTTTGCGGCCAATGGCATCCACCGTGAGCCCATCTGTCGTCTGCAGCCCTGCGGTAAGGCAGAAGAGCACACTGGCCCCTGTGCAGGGCAGATGGTCCATTTCCCCAGCTCCGCAGGTAGACAGGTGGTCCCGGGCTGGCAGCAAGGCCCACCTGTCGTGATGATGTCCTCGTGCCAGGAGCCGTCCAGGTTGGCCCGGCTGATTCTGTGTAGTGTGCTGTCAGACCAGTACACCTTTCCTGGAGAGGGAAGGTCTGGCTCAAGTCTGGGTCTCACCTCCCGCCATGGCACGCACAGCGACTCAGACCTGAGACACCGGAGTGTGCCAGACAGCCCTGCAGCCCCTCACAGAAGAAAGCAAGGGAGATGGAGAAAAATCACAGCCCTGGGCAGAGACGGAGAAAGGAGAGGCCCGGCCCCATGATCAGGAAGTCCTGCACACATAGGGATGGGAACGGGCTGCCCCTGGGCTCGTAGCAGGTGGCAAAGGTGGCAGGAAAGGAAGGACACCAGTTGCTGTCAGGCAGGGACAGGAGCCAGGTGGGAAGAGAGAGCTGCACAGACCTGCCTCCGGGTCCACTCCAATGGCAATGGTGTTCTTCATGGTAATGTTGATTGGCACCACCACGTCAGCAAAATAAGGGATGTCCAGGGAGACCATGCGCACGTCTATCCTCCTGGCGAAGATGAGGAAACTGTTCATGCCTGTCCAGATGGAGAGAGGAGGGGACCATGGCTCTAGCAGGGCCATTATGAGGGCTTGGAGTCAGGCAAAGTGCAGCTCACAGCAGGACCCTGCTAGCCGAGAGCTATGTGATCCTAGGCAGTTATTGGAATGATTTAAGCCTGCTTCCTGATTATAAAGTGGGGACAACAACAGGTGACTGTCAGGATTAAAAGAGATTGTGTGCATAAAGTCCTGAGCATTTAGCTCTCACACATCTTCACAACTGATTTCTCTTCATTACTATTATGGAAGCAGCTCTCTTTGAAGGATCCTCTACCATGAAGCACAATAAAGGGCCAGGTGTGGTGGTGCATGCCTGTAACCCCAGCACTCAAGAGGCTGAGGCAGGAGGACTGCCATGAGTTTGAGGCCAGCCTGTGCTACACAGCAAGACCCTATCTAAAAAAATAAAATAAGTAAAAAAAGAAGACTAAAAGGACCCCAGATGGCTTTATCGACAATGTAGGAGGCACTCAAATTCCCCCAGATGTTAAGAGTTCAAGGCCAAGTTATCTAGGGAGAAAACTTGATTTTCAACCCCTGGGTAGCCAGGTCCTGCTTCTGGGCCTATCTCATAGAGCTGTCACGTAAGCTATACGCAGACAGGAACATCTTTTTCTCAAATGCACAAAGACCTCACAAGAACCAGGGGACACTGTCTGTTTGCCTGCTCCCCTGAGCCACCCCTGGCCCCTTGTTCTCTTCTAAAAGCTCTCAGTCTCTCCCTTAAGCCTCTAGAAACACCAGGACTCGATTTCTCAGACCACACGGGAGCCCATGTACAGAGGAGAAAAGCAGCTATTTCCTGTCCCTGACAGGCTCCACCCGGGCCTGAGAGGCCCTGCTCCACTCACCTGGTGAACACTTCTTGCCATTAGGCAGCAGGTTGATGCCTGTGGGGCAGGTACAGCTGAAGCCACTCGGATTTGGGGACCGCAGACACAGGTGGCTGCAGCCGCCATTCTCTGTAGCGCATGGTGTGGTCACTGTAAGAAGGAGGGGTCAGTGGGACAGGCCAGGGCCTAGCAGGACCCAGGAGAAGCCATGCGGGCTAAGGGCGGCTCACCTGGGGGCCGCCGCCGGTGGAAGACGTGGATGTCCATGAGATTCTCCAGGTTCTCCTGCAGGGTCTCCCGGTCCAGCCCGGTCAGCCGGTCGGCACTTTGGATGCTCTTGGTCTGCCAGTCCGTCCAGTAGATTCGCTCTCCGTAGAGGGTCAGACCAAAAGGGTGGGGCAGCTGGCTTCCGATGAGCACCTGCCAGGGCCCCAGCATCAGTCATCCCCAGCAGGGTCTGATGGTAGGGAGCTTGGCGGGGCGTTAGGATGCAACTCTGCCACCGTCATTACCGCCTACCATGTGACCTTGACCGAGAACTAATTATATCCTCTCTTCAGCCTCGCTCCAGCAGTCTGTGATATGGCCACGACAGTGCTGCTCCAATGAGTGTGATGATTTTAAAAGATCACGTGTTCCTCACATAATCTCCAAGTGTCTCAGCACAAAAGTAGCAACTTTACAGTGGACACCTCCCTAACCATGCAATCAAAATAGATATCACAACAGTGGAACAAGCAAACATCTGTACCCGTGGATGAGACACACTACGAACTCATGACGACACAACTGCACTTACTGTAGCATTCCTTCCGCAAATGCACAATCTGAATCCAATCTCAAGGAAATCTCAGTCAAACCCAAATTAGGGGCATTCAGGAAATAATTGGCTTTTACTCTTTTTTTTTTAAATGCAAAGGTCAAGAAAGACATAAAAAAGGTTGAAGAAGTGTTCTAGATTAGAGATTGAGAGATGAGATCACTAAACACAACAGTGATCCTAGTTGGATCCTGGACTAAAAGACAAAAAGAAAAAGAAGCCATTAAATACACTATCAGGGACTCTGGTAGTGAAACTGAGCAGGGAGAGTGGATTATACAGGAATATTGTATCAATGTTAAACTTCCAATTTTGATAAATGTACTATGGTTAGATAAGAAACTGTCCTTGGTCTTAAGGAATATGGATTGGAATATTTTGGAGTTAAAGCTAAGATGTCCCTAATTTAATTTCAGGTGATTCAGAAAAATAAGAGAGAGAGCGTGTGTGTGTGCAGAAACAGAGAAACGTGTAAAAATGGTAAAAAATGTGGGAAAATGTTATTTGTTCTTTTCATTACTTTTGCAACTTTCCTGTAAGCTTGAAAGTTTAATAAAATAAACAATAACAAAAACAAAGAGATCGATCAATCGTGGGTCCAGTGTGCAACTAGTGATCAGTTAGTGTTTGCTGTGACGGTTATTAGGAAAGTGTGTGCATTCACACTCCCAGAGCACAGTCCACACAAACCCCGAGGGCTGCGGTTTATATCTAGATGTCCCCCAAGTGCCTCATGCACTCAGAAGTGGGACCTTGGGCAGGTGCCTGGATGATGGGAGTTATAGCTGACTTGCTGCTAAGAAAGCGGGTCATGGTGGGCATGGTCTGGAAAGGGTCTATCTCCCTCTCCACTCCTCCCTTTGCTCTCCACTTCCTGGCCACCATGCCCTGAGCAGCTCTCCTCCGCCAGACCCTTCCGCCATGCCTTCCTGCCTCAGAGCCCACCAACTATGGACTGAAATATGAGCAAAATGAGTATCTACTCCTTTACGTTGTGCTGGGTTTCGTGTCTCAGTGACGAGAAAGGGACAAAGACACTCAGTTCCCTTTCATCACCAACTAGCAGCTCCCACCCTGACCCAGTGCCAGAGGACAGCCACCGCCTCAGACAGACAGCATGTGCTCCACGCTGACCTTAGAACCACTGGGTCTCCCAGCTCCTGTCACCTGCCAGCGAGTGAGTACTGTCATCGTGGAAACTGTCAGGGCAGGGGGAGATGGCTGTGTGTCACCCCTACCTTCCGGTTGCTGCCGTCCAGTCCAGCAAATTCTATCGTCTTCATGCCAGCATCAGCCCAGTACAGCCGCTGGGACCCATAGTCAATGGCCAGTCCATTAGGCCAGGTCAGATTGGAGGAGATTATGACCTGGCGACTGGAAGCATCCATGCCAGCTCGCTCAATCTTAGGACTTGCACCCCAGTCGGTCCAGTACATGTACCTGGGCACAGGCAAGGAAGCCTTCCAGTTAACACCGAGTGGAGATCCAGGCTACCAAGGGCTTTGGGTTTCTGCCTGTAGCAGCTACTCCTGCGTCACTGCCCAGTCCAGCCCAAGGCCCAGAGTGGTCCCAAAACGCCTTGTATCACAACTGAAAGGGACCCCAGGGTCTTGATAAGGGCAGAGCCCATGGCTGAAGAGTACCCAGCAAATGAGGGCCACTAGGGAATAAAGTAAGAGGGAAGCCAGGTGTGGTGGCCCTTGCCTGTAATTCTAGCACTTCGGAGGCTGAGGCAGGAGGATCACAAGTTTAAATCTGGGCTACACAGTGAGTTTGAGGGCAACCTAAACTACATAGTGAGACCCTGTCTCAAACAAACAAACAAACAAAGAGGGGAAAATGAGGACTAAGAAATGTTTTAACTGGATGGATTAAATAATTATGGTATCTAAATGTAACAGAACTCTACATAACCATGAAGAACAAGGTAAAGCTATATAATGGAAAGATATACAAATGAATGTAAAAAAACCTCCAAAACAGTATGTTATTTTTGCAAGACCAAAACCACAACAGCTAACAAAAAGAAATATTTATATACATTTAGAAGAAACTCTGGGAAGAATATACCAAACTTAACAATAGTTATTGCCAGGGGGGGAGAGTATAGAGAATTTTCACTTCCTACAGACTTTTTTTTTTGAGACAGGGTCTCACTATATAGTTCCAGCTGGCCTTGAACTCACTATGTAGCCCAAACTGGGCCTGAACTCTCAGCGATCCTCAAGCCTCAGCCTCCTGAGTAGTAAGATTACAGGTGTGCCTCAGCATGCCCAGCTCAGATTTTTTTTTTTAAAGCAATGAGTTACTTTTTTTTTTGCTTTTTTGCTTTTTAATTTCTTAGTGCCGAGAACTGAACCCAGGGCCTCATGCTTGCTAGGCAAGCATTTTACCACTGAGCTAAATCCCCAGCCCCAGCAATGAGTTACTTTTGTAAGCAAACAAAGACAAGAAAAGAAAACCTGTAAAAGGTTTCCTCGACCAGAGAGGCACCATCTTCTGGTTTCCACAGCTGCCTGGGCTTCCTGGGCATATCTATCACACCTGGCTGCTCACACTAATCCCAGATGCTCTTGGGAGTGCAGGGTGGGGGTTGGAAGCTCTGAAGAGGCAGCGCTCACCCGCCCATGGGTTCTACCACGATGTCCCGAGGGCGGTCAAGGTTCTCCCAGATGAGGACAGTCCGCATGCTGCCGTCGGTGTTGGCCACTTCAATCCGGTCTGTACCTGCCAAGTCACGGCAAAGAGATTAGCTCCAGTCTTGTTCCTTCACCCTTGGATCCTCCATGGCCAGCACAGAGCCTACTATGTAGGAAACACTCAGCCAAGACTTCTTTCTGGTAGATGCACAATGGATATTTAGCGAGCTGAACCATGAGAAGAAATTCAAGAAGTGATCAGTTTCACCTAGGCAACCAGCTCTATCCTATAAGGAAGGCAATGAGTCTCAAATTTTAATGTTTAGAATCAGAGAGCTTATTAAAATATAGCTTTAATACTCAAAGATTTTGACTCAGTAACTCTGAGTGTGGCCCCAGAATTTTCTTTTCTTTTCTTTTTTGAGACAGGGTCATGCTAGGTAGTTCAGGCTAGCTTCGAACTCACAGTGATCCTCCTGTCTCAGCCTCCCCAGTGCCAGAGAATTTGTATTTCTAAACTTCCCAGGGGAGGCTGACGCTGTTGCTCCAAGGACCACACTTTAAGACATTTCTCTTGCTTTTCTGCACCATGTGGTTAATAGAAAATGCCTGCTTTTGTCGGGAGATGCCCGACAAGTTAGTTATTGGGGGATACCCTATCACCTGAATGAGGGAGACCAGGGGATGAAAGAATAATATACAAAGAACGAGGAATAAAAAATAAAGAATGATAGTTTATTACTTGAGGGGGCAGGAATTGATCTTAACTCTCTCCTAGCTAAGACCTGATCTTGGCTCTTTCCTGGCTAAGACCACAAGCTCTGGATTCGTCAGTATTTATATACAACATAGCAAGGGGGCATAAAGGCAGATGTAGGGAATAGCGAACTAAAGCACTAATGAGCCAGCTGTAAAAGGGGAGTAATGATGCTTTCTGGTGAAGGACAGGTCACAGTTAACAAACCACCTGTGTTATCTTTAGCCAATGTTTGATCTTGGAGAAGGGCTGCACAGCGTTATAATTCCTCAGCTGTAGGGTCAACCTGCTATTAGAGACCTCACAATCTCATTGATCACTGAGATCTCGATTGTGACCATTGGTATAGGGAAGTCTGTCCCTGTACTCCAGCCCAAGGCTCATTTAGCAAGTCACATGTGGGCCTTGGAGTAACTCATAATATTAATCAACAGACCAATTATAAGCCAAATCAATACTATCTAAAGCCTGCTTAGTATAGTTTCAAGCTGGTCTCCTGCATGCTTTCCCTAGACAGCAACAGAAGGAAAACTAGAGGGCACAGAGGGTTCATTATTTGAAAGGCCTCAACACATTTCCAATCACCAGCTATGTCACAGAAGTAGCTGCTGTTTGACTAACACGTGCCAAACCCTCAAATGTGAGCTTTTGCTTTAGGACCACAGCAGCCCCACCACTTCTGTCCTACCAAGGACTTCTGGTCAAGATGGACACAGTCCAGGAGGGGAGGCCAGGGTTTCAAATAAGCGGAATCTCGAGCTGCCAGGCCACGGATCCCTGGTATGTACCTGCGTCTGTCCAGTACAGCTTGTTGGTGACCCAGTCGATGGCCAGCCCTGCAGGACTCTCCAGACTGGTATCCACTACCACCTGGACAGGAAGCAAATCCAAGTCACCAGTTTACTTCCGCTCCAGCTCTGCAGCCCAAATCCTGCCCGTTTCCAAGGAGAGGGAGGATTCCAACCCTCAGCCTCAGTCCTCCGGGAGCTGGGTCTCACCAGGCCCTACCTCCTGTCCTGTTCCATCCCACTTGGCCCTGCTGATGGTATCAGTGCTGACGTCTGTCCAGTACACGTGGTCATCCCGGGAGTCCCAGTCAAGGGCCACAGCACTGCGCACGTCAGCCAGTGGGATGACATCGTCGGACAGGTCCTCTGTGTCGAAGCTGATCCGACGGATGTCCATCCTTCGGGCAAAAAGCAGGAACTTGTCAAGACCTGATCAAAGGCCGAGAGGGGTCTCCTTTTAATGCTCTACATCCAGTAAGAGTGACAGACATACTCGCTCACCTGTGTGCCACCTGGCTCACTCACACTTCTGGGGACCGGCCCTCTGCCTGCTACTTTTCACACCACAAAGCCCCCTTTGAGCACTGAAGCGGCAGAAACAGACTTCGGAATCCAACACACACGGACTCTACCAGGGCCCAACATGTACTTAATAAGTACGTGCGTATTAAGAGTCTGTTGGCTTCACTTCAATTTTTCTCCCTGCTGACATCTCCTAAACTCTTCCAGTGGCCTGGCTGGACTGGTGCCAACTCCCCAGCCCACTTCTCTGGCTTCTGTTCTATTCCAGGGCTTCTGGTCCATCATCGAGCCCTTCCTGCTGTTCTCTGCAGGGCTGGAGTCCTCCTTGCCAGGCACTGAGCTTAGTGCTTAGAAAAGCACATTCCTAGGCTACAGAGCTGGGACTCAGATGGGCCCAGGGAGGAAGCTCTGACCCCTCATCTCCTCGGCATCTCACCAGCGGGCACCCTCTAGCCCTGCCCCTGTCCTGGTCTGTCAGTACTTTCCCAGGACAGCTGTCCCCTGGCATCTGTGGAGGCCTGGTTGCAAGATCCCACAAATACCAAAATCCATAGATACTTGAGTCTCCTCTAAAATGGCTCAGTGTCCCTCTGTGTACTTTATTTGTTTACTTTTTTGGGGGTGGGGGGTTTGGTACCAGGGATCGAACTTGGGACCTTGTGCTTGAGGCAGGTGGTGGCACCACTCAGCTAAATCCCTGACCCTTTTTTGGTTTTTGATACAGGGTCTCACTAGGTATTCCAGCCTGGCCTTGAACTCACTATTAGTCATTATGCTGCATTGTTTAGGGAATAATGATAAGAGATAAAAGTTCAGTATGGATGTAACTTTTTTTTTTCAGTACTGGGAACTGAACCCAGGATGCTCTACTACTGAGCTACATCCCCAGCCCTCAGCCCTCTTCTTTCAGGCAAGGTTTTGAAATGTAGTCTAAGTTAGCCTAGAACTCACTATATAGCACAGGCTGGCCTTGAATTTGGGATCCTCCTGCCTCAGCCTCCCAGATTATAGCCAGGTTATATCTATCCACCACCACATCTGGCACCATTTTGTTTTTTTGAGACAGGGTCTCACTATGTAGTTCAGGCTGGCCTTGAGCTCACAGTAAGCCTGCTACCTCAGCCTCCTGAGTGCTAAGATTATGGGCCTGCACCACCATGCCTGACTGGTACAATTTTTAAAAAAAATATTTTCAGTATGTAGTTGGTTGAATGCATAGGTGCAGAATCTACAGATATGGAGGATTGATTATATAATTTTCTATCTAGAAAAGCACTTCCTGCCTAATTTCAGCAATTTCTTCCAAGCTCTGGGGAACCTCTTGCACCTCATAAGACAACAGAGCAAGAGCTAGGCACAAAAAAACACAAAGGAAAAACACATTGCATAGAACCAGGTTCTCAACCAGTGTGTGTTTGGATGGCACCTCTGAATATTTTCCCTAAATGCATCCTCTGGAATCGACCTAAGATCCTGGGAGTCTGATTTTAACCTAATTTAAGAGAGTCGGTGGGGTCCACGGCAGGAAATAAGGTATGTAACGTGCGAGGAATTATCTTAGGCCCCTGGCTGGTCACACCGCATGCCTGATCACTCCTTCTGGATACTCTCAGCAGAGCCCACCTGGACACTGAGCTCTCCAGGGTCATCCTGGCTAGGTGACGACCCTGTGGGGGGGTCATTGGAGTGGTCCAAGGTGTGACCAAGAGGTCCCAGCACCTTTCACTTATTAGACACATATTTATATAATGATACAGGGCATCATTAGCGATCTTTTGTTTTGTTTTGTTTTGTTGGTACCAGGGATCGAGCTTGGGAACTTGCACTTATGAGGCAGGCACCGTGCCACTGAGCTAAATCCTCTGCCCCTGTTTTGTTCTTTTGAGACAGGGTCTCACTACCTAGTCCAGGTTGGCCTCAAACTTGCAGTGATCCTCCTGGCTCAGCCTCCCAAGTGCTGAGATTACAGGCGTGCACCACCATGCCCGGCGCTAGAAATCTTTTTTTTTGTACCCGGGATCAAACTCAGGCCTTTTACTTTCGAGGCAGGTAGTGGAACCACTGAGCTAAATCCCTGGGCCCCAGGTCTAGAAATCTTAATTCTGGCTTCCTAGTTTAAGAGTTGTAAGAAAGTCCTCAACAGTGTGAGACTAGGTAAAGAGCTGGTTCCCTGCATCCTAGGGGAGCCCGGAGATGAGACATCCTGCTTGGTAAAATGCACCATAAGCCTGGTTGCAGCTGGCTGCAACCAGTCGTACTCGATTGGGTGGTGGGTGTCCTTTAGACTTCAGCAAAGAAAAAGCTGGGTCCTCTGTCCCCAGCTTTGATACAGGATTGCTCAGCCTCTTAAGTTCTTTTTCTTCAGGGGTGGCTCAGGAGCTCAGCTCTTCCCTCCAAACCTCTCCCTTGTCCCTTCCACCCAGTGTCACGAGGTCCCCTATTAGGCAGGGGTCCCAGACCCACTTACTCTGAGCACATGCGTGGCTGCTGATCTTGCGGAAGCCCGTGGGGCAGGCACAGGTGTAGTTCTGGCCACTGGGCAGACACAGGTGGGTGCAGCCTCCGTTGTTATCCCCACAGCGGTTTTTCCCTGCGCAGAGAACCCAGAGCAAGAGGCTCAGGTAAGACCAAAGGTTTTCAAAGTAGCCAGGGAGGGAGGAACTATGTCTTATTACTTTTTCCATCTGCCCCAGCAGCTAGCACAGTGAGTTCCTGCCACATAGGAGATACCCTGGAAATGCTTGCATGAATTAATGGGAACCGTGATGCAGAATGTCCGTCTTGATGGTGTAGTACCCTAAAATCCCAGCAGAGGGAGCAATGAGCCCACTGTATGCCACCCCCAGAATTTCCCGCAAGAAATGGCAACTATGCCAAGTCCTCAAGACACCCAGGTTTCTTACCTGCAGGCTGGCGCTGGGGGTGCAAGGTGTGAATGTCCATGGGGAAGTGCAGCTTGTTGCGAATGATCTCCTGGTTCTTCCCGGTGAACTTGTTGGCGCTGTTGATACTCTTCGTGTGCCAGTCTGTCCAGTACAGGCTGTCTTCAAACACCGTGATGGCAAAGGGGTGTGGGAGGCCTGGGGATGTGCAGGGAGACCTCGGTCCAGACATGGCCTGCGTGGCTCCTCACCCAGGCTCGGCAACGGCACCAATGTCACACTCTGCAGGGCTTCTGGGGGCAGGGACAGGAGATGGAGGATGGGAGGTGAAGGGGGCAGGGAAGGGCTCACCCTGGCTAATGACAGCCTTGCGGCGACTCCCGTCTAGGTTGGCCCTCTCGATGACGTGGTGCTTAGCGTCCACCCAGTACATCCGGCGCCCTGCGTAGTCGATGGTGAGGCCGTTGGGCCAGAAGAGATGAGTGTCGGCAATGATGCGCCTTCCGGAGCCGTCCATGCTGGACGCCTCGATGCGGGGGGTGTTGCCCCAGTCTGTCCAGTAAATGGTGCTGGCAGGAGAGAAAAGGGGACTGAGACTCGGCAGCAGCAGACAGACAGGTACTAAAGCAGGGCAGTAATCAGAGAGGAGCCTGCTTGCCGTTCAACCCAGGGTATTCCAACTGCTAGCCAGAGAACGCTTCTTAATTATTTTATTTTACTTATTTAAAAGAATTTTTTTTTGCAGTGCTGGGGATTGAACCCAGGGCATTGAATCCAAGACCTTGCCCATGTGAGGCAAGCACTCTACCACTGAGCTACATCTTCAGCCCTGGAGTGCTTTTCAAATGTTTGAAGCTAAGTGTCTTTAGATGGAAATTACTCATTTAAAAAAATGAGCAAAACAGACAAAAGTCCTAATGCTCTTGGAATTGACAGTAAAAGTTGAGACAGGGACTTTGTTTTTTGAGACAGGGACTTTGTTTTTTGAGACAGGGTCTCATTGCTATGTAGTTCAGGCTGGCCTCAAACTTGTGGAGATCCTCCCACCTCAGCCTCTCGAGTGCCAGGATTACAGATGTGTATACCATTACACCTGGCTTAAGACAGGTCCTTTCTTCTTCATGATGATCTCTTCTGCCGTCTTGTATAATTTATACATAACTTATACACATTCCCACCCACCTGCTACACACACACACAGAGTTTCTAAAACAGTTTACACACACATGCAAGCTCTTACAAGACGTCCCTTTGTTGCCAGCACCAAATTTTTAAATGCCAAGAGCTAACAACTTCCATTTTAAGAGACTTTCAACCCAGTAGGTGTTCCTATTGCCTTTTTAATTATTTTAAATTAAAGATAATTTTTATCAATTAGCTTAACTATTAACTTAATTATTTTAATTTACTAATAATTTTTATTAATTAGGTCAACGCTATGAGCTAATAATAAAAACACCAAACCCTTAAGACTTACCTAATATGTGTATTATATGCCACTTAGAGGGCATCATCTCAGTTGTCACACAACTATGAGGTTGGCTTTTTTCATTTTGTTTTTTGGTTTTGTTTCTTTCCTTTTTTTTGAGACACAGTCTTGCTTTTAGTTCAGGCTGGCCTTGAACTCACTATGCAGCCCAGGCTGGCCTCCTCACAGAGATCCTCCTACCTCAGCCTCCTGAATGCTGGGATTACAGGCTTGTGCCACCATACTTGGCTTTTTCTTTTTTTAATTGCCAATTAACTAGCCCAAGGCCACAGAGCCAGTTGCTGCAGTTGTGGGCTGCCGAGCCAGCAGTGTCTGGGTGCAGAGTCTACCTTGTTAACACCACACCTTGAGGATGGCCCCATAAAGCCCTGCCCCAGGGGCCTGGACACAGTCCCTCCTGGGCAGCAGGAAGTCTGGGAGCCCGAGACACAGCCCACTCACCCCTCCATGGGGTGCAGGGCGATGGCCCGGGGCTTCTCCAGGTTTTGCCACAGCAGCACCTTCCGGTGGGCCCCGTCGAGATTGGCCACCTCGATCCTTGATGTCCCCGAGTCGGTCCAGTAGAGCTTGTCATGGACCCAATCCACAGCTAGGCCCCCTGGGGAGAAGAGGGGGCGAGGAAAGCGTCAGGGACTCCGGCCGGCCCTCTGTGCCTCAATTGTTGCTGGGAAACCTACCCAGAGCACGTTCTCGGGTGGGGCCTGCAGAGACCTCACTGAATCGCCAGGACCCTACGGGGGGGCTTTCACCTCATTAAGACAAGGAAACTGAGGCACCGAGCAGTCAAGCATCTGTCCAAGGGTGTGCATCACAGCCAAACACACCCCGGTTCCTGAACTCGGGCTCCCTGCCCCATACATCCGGGGTTTCCCACTGCAAACTGGGTTTGAAAATTGTTGCCTCAGGTTTAGCACAGGTGTCTCAGAAGCTCCCAGGGCATCTGAGTCAACTGATAGCAGTCTTTCCTCTGAGGGCAGCTCTGGGGGTGGAACCTCGGGCCGGGTGCCTGCTAGGCGATCTGCCACTGAGCCTCAGCCGCAGCCCAGCCCTCAATACCAAATTCTACTCCACTTCCCCTGCTTTTCAACCAGCCTGAGATGCCCAGTTAGCTGCTGGTGTTTTTTAAATCTGTTAAACTTATCTGGGTAAATCAGAATTTTTTTTTCTTGGCAGTACTGGGGATTGAACCTAGGACCTTCCCATGGAGCTACAACTCCAGCCCCTTTTTAGTCTTTGAGACAGGATTTGGGCTACATTGCCCAGGCTGGGCTGAAACTTGCAATCCTCCTGCCTCATCCTCCCAGAGTGCTAGAATTACAGGTGTATGGACTCAGTCTATTCCTTTTTTTTTTTTTCTACCGGTGATTGAACTCGGGACCTTGTGCTTGCGAGGCAGGCAGCAGCACCACTGAGCTAAATCCCTGGCTTGATTTTTTTTTTTTTTTTTTTAAGGTTCAGGCATGACCTTGGGTGATTGTCATAAATGGAATCAGAAATTTATGGATGATATTTATAGTCCTCTATCAGCCTTAGCATCCAGTCTACTTCTGATTTTGATTGCTTACTATTAAGAATAGACTGAGTCGGGCCGGGGATTTAAAACCTCAATACATACTAACACATGCTTTCCCCACCACAGTCCCCCCGGGGTTTCTCTGCTGCAGAAGGTTTGCAAACGGGGCCTCTGTCCTACCTGGACTCTCCAGCCCGGTGGACACCACCTCCTCCACGTTGCTGCCATTGAGGTTGGCACGGAGGATCCGGTCCAGGGTGACGTCGGACCAGAACACCAGCTCACGGCGGTGGTGGAAGTCAAGGGCGATGGCGTTCTCCAGGTTGTTGAGCAGCAATGTGTACTCCGAGCGGTGTGGCAGCACCTGCCGGATGTCGATTCGGTTGGCGAACAGCAGCACTGGCTCGGGCCCTGGGAGGCGGCAGAGAGACAGGGCCTGCAGCGGGCATCAGAGCTGCCCAACACCCACCAGCATGCAGCCCAGCTCCACAGCAGGCAAGGGGTCGCCTGTCCCTGGGCCACCCTGGCCCACCCGCGTCCATACCAGTGGAAGGAGACCACCCCTCCCCCCAAGCAGTTCTCCTTGGGATCCAGAAGGCACTTGAAGAAGGTAACTATGGGAGCCAGAAATCTCTACCTCCACACAAACCCCTGAGCTCCGGGACACCTGGCTCTGCCTGGGCTCAGTCTTCCCCAAACCAGAGGAGCTGTGTCCTTACCCAGGGCCTTGCAGCTGCGCCTGTCGGGCCGGAGCTCATAGCCTGCTTCGCACCAGCACTGGAAGGCTCCTTCACTGTTGGTGCAGCCCTGGCTGCAGTACCCCTCCTCGGCGCATTCATTCACATCTGGAACACCGGGCAGGGTCAGGAGGGCTCCCTCGCGCCATCCCTGCACCCCAGCTCCCAACCTGACCAGCTGCTTTCCTGGCCACATTGCCATCCACTTCCCAGCCTGGTGGGAGGCTATGCAGAGAGAGACTAAGGGCTTTGACATTGTGAGGACCAGGGCTAGAATCCCAGCTCTGCTCCTCCCTAGGTGTGCGACCTTTGCTAAGTTCCTGAACCTCTCTGGGCCCATCTCCCCATCTGTGCAGAGGGAGGGAGAACCCCACTTCCTAGTCTGACTGTGATGAATGGAGGGAGGTCACAGCCAACCAAGGCCTGACCCAGGGGAAACGGTTGCCCACCTGCTGGCCCTGCCCAGCCTCCTGCCTCGGCTCCTCCGGGGCTCAGCTCACCCTGGCACGCGCGCCCGTCCTCCGTGAGCCGGTAGCCCGTGTGGCAGGTACACTGCACTGCCCCTCGCACCATCTGGCACTTCTGGGCACAGCCGCCGTTGTTAACATTGCAGTTTTCTTCACCCGTCCGGGGCCCTGTGCCAGCCAAGTCAGAATTGGGATGGAGCCCAGAATCCTCCCCCAGTCAGCCTCCCCAGTGCCACCTGGACATGAGGAACAGCTCCCAAGGCTGCAGGCGCCCGGCGAGGCTCCCTCTGAACCTGGGGGTGGGGAGCAGCCACGAACCTGGGCCAGGCCGGCCCAGGACACTCACGGCAGTGCTGCTGCGGGCTCTCGTCGCTGCCGTCTCCACAGTCGTTGAGCCCGTTGCACAGCTTCCTCTGCCCAATGCAGCGGCCGTTGGAGCACAGGAACTGGTCGGAGGCGCATTGGGGGCTTCCTGGAGCGAGAGCGGGGGTTGCAGCACAGTCCCCCTGCACCCTCCTGCCACCCGCCTGCACCCCAACTGCAGGTTAGGGGCCGTGGGGCCCCCTGGGAGACCCCACCTGTGTTCTCACAGTTCTCTTCGTCACTGTTGTCCGCACAGTCGTCCTCCCCATCACAGCGCCAGGACAGCCGGACGCAGCGGCCCGATCGGCAGCGGAACTGTTCCGTTGTGCACATGGACGTGGCTGGCAAAGCAAAGGGATCATGAAAGGCCAGCCCCTCTCATCCCTGCTGCCCAGAGCTGCACTTTGTGTCAGTACCCAGGCCACTCTTCTGGATGCCAGTGTCATGAGACGCTTTACAGACATCTGCTGGAAAA